GAAGGTCCGTTGAGACATCTGCTTCTGCTTCATCCCCATCCGCTGAGGCTGCCTCGCGGGGGTCGCGTCGGCGCAAGACGCGCTGCTGCTTCTTTTGGCAGTGAAGCTGTTGCAGCAGCAGCATGTGCTGATGCAGCTCCCTCCTCCTTTGCTCGAGCTGCAGCAGAAGCTCCTGTTGTCGCTGGTACCCCCCATCCCTAGTCGCTGCGACTGACGTCACCTCCACACAGCCGCCCTCTCCGCTGCTACGACGACGCTGCGGGGGATGTGAAGGCGGCACGCCATTGGCTGCAGCGGCTGCTTCTGCGGCTGCAGAGGCAGCCGCTGTAGCGAGTCGGGCTGTCCGTACAGCAGCCGCAAGCTTCAGATGGGATTGGGGAGATGGAACGACGAGGAAAGCAGGAACGGCGGCTGGAGACGCAGACGCGGCTGCGAAGCGCGAGCGCAGCAGCAGCAAGCCGTCGCTGCTGCAGGTGTACGAGGAGGGAGGAGCGGGGAACACAAGTGTGGAGTCAATCAGGGGATGGCTGCCGCCAGTCAGTGCAGCCCCCATTTGGTCCTTGTGTTAGCGCTATCTTCTGCCCCTTCGGCAAATCCCTACGTTCATAGGGACGCTCTTCTGGAGAAGCGCTGATCTCAAGACTGCTGCCGTCAGAGCGTGGAAGCCGCTTTGTTCGAAGGGCCGCGCGGCAACCTCTGGTTCTGCATGCATTTGCCTTTCTCGCTGCTCCGCTGCTGCCGTCGATGGTAGGGGTGCTTCCAGCTGTGTAGCCTCTGCTCTATAACTTGGACTGCGAGCACATTCTACGGTGCAAACCCCATAATAACCATGCCGACCGTGAACCACTCCCCATAATCATTGCTGCTGCTGCACCAGGCGCGAGCACGTCCACATGGAGTCGTACACTTTGTTCAGACACATGTACACTTAATACAAGCCAGGAGAGAACTCTAGAGAAAGCGACAGCAACCTCTTGGAGCCCGTGCAACCGCTGCTACCGGCTTGCTCCGTCACGGCACATGGTTCTACTTGGTGCTGCCAAAGCAGAAGTCATTCATCACCAGTGTCATTTGCTGTTCATTAATTCTAAAACAAAACCAAGAAGATCTCACGGAAGAGGATTAGCCGCTACAGCCCTATACAACGGCAGCTGCTGCTCCAGCTGCGGCTGCTGGCGGCCGAAACATGCAGCCTTCCCAGAACAGAGTTGCAGTCTTTAATGAATTGCCGCTCCAAATGGCAATTCTATAGTAGGAGAACCTTGTCGACGCGCCTTTTAGAGCGTGAGACCCTGCTGGCTGCCGCAGTTACCGGTGTTGCAGGTGCCTCCATTGCAGGTTCAGCAGCGGCAACAGCTGCAGACACAGTCCCTCGTCATTGCACAGGGAGGATCAACAATCGCAACCTTACCATGGAGGAACCAGAAGGTGCTGCTGCCCATTCTGAGCAGCAGGAGCACCAACACCAAAAACAGCAACAGCAGGAAGAACATAGCAGAGACACTGCTGCCTTGCTGCGGCAGCGAGCCGCAGCAAGGCAACAACGTCTGCTGCATCGGCAGTCACAACGCATGCGCATTGTACAGAATATGGATGCAAGTGCCAGTGATGACAGCATCAGCGACAGCGGCGGGAACAGGAGCAGAAGCAGGAGCATCAGCACAAACACAAGAAATCCCGACAAAGCTCAGCAGAGTGCAAGTGTTGGAGATATCCCAGCACAACCATGCATCCACGACAGCGATTTCAATAAAGAGGGGAAAGAAAAAAGGCTCTCCTCATTTCTTTATGGTCTTTCCGTGTTTTTGGGCATTGGTGCCGCAGTGAAGAGTGTGTTGCGGGAAGATGCTTCCCCTCATTACTTGTTTGAGTCTCTCGGTTTTGAATATGCTCCACTCAGCTGGACATTAATCTGCTATTTGTGCGGGGCATGTCTGTACATGCCGCTGCCGCTGCTGCTGGTTATTTCGTTGGCAGAGTTGGTGCAGCAACATGGTCGTTGTCTGGCACAATTTTGCAGAGCAGTTGTCTCTGTAGCTTCAGGCGAGAGAGCCTCTGATATGATTTCTCGTCGGAAGTTGGCCTTGATGAGTACACTTAGCTCGATTCACATGGTATTCGCGGCTGTTCGGCCTCTAGTCATGCGCTTTGTCTTCTTCATCGTTTCTTTCTGCTTTACCAGTACATGCCTGCGGATCGCCGTTACAGGAATGTGCCAGGAACAGCCAGAAGTGCAACTAGTGCAGCAGTGAATTCGCCAATACCTGCAGCACCTGGCACTGCCAGAGAAGCGGGGTGTGCTGCGCGCTGCAGCAGCACAGCGGTGCAGTAGCATCTGTGGCTGTGCAGTAGCATCTGTGGCTGTCGTTGTCGGCCGAACTTTTCGTGGTTCGCCACTGGATTTGTACAGCTAGAGAATAACGCGTCAAGGAGGCAAAAGTAGGGCAAAGCCTCGAACCGTGAGGGCTTGAGACGGGTTAGCAGAGAGAGTCATGAGGGAAGGGGGCATAGAGCGCATGAAATCGAGACCAGATGTCAGATACATGCACTAACAGAAATGTTGAGCAATTTGTGTGCTAATAGCGGCGAAGAATCTGCCTTTACGGGAAGGCACGATGCCAGGCAGGGGAACCTGGTAGGGTGCCACACACATGTGCAGTTACATTGCATATAGGATCTGAGAAGCTCTGGGTGTGCGGTCTCCCACGCTTACATCAGGATGAGTGAATATAGTTAGCCGCTGCCCCTATCACCAATTCAGGAAACTGTCTGTCCCTTCAGTGATGATGGCCTTGACGGGTGCACGCACGATTAACAACGCGCCTTTTCGGATGTTTGCTGGTCCACTCTGCCGAGTTCCTATGGTGAGCACGGAGCACTTGCACTGCTGGAATATGTTTGGCTTCTACAGAGAGAAAATGCACACGGACGCAAAACCATCAGCTCTGCGCCCTGGTTTCTTAGATCGCAACCGAGAAGCGGGGTGTAGTGCCGCATCTGAAGCCGTCGTTAACACGAACTTCCCGAAGAGAATGCAAAACTTGATCGAAATATTATCGACTGTCTTTCCAGTGGAGCGTTTCGCCGTCACCCCACAGGGTTTAGGCATGAGGGGACGATACCGTTACGATAGATGTTGTGGAATTCTCGAAGGACTGTTTGAAGTTACACCCACCTGCACATAGCATTTGCTGCACAGACACATAGCATTGATTCACTTAGTATCGCTCCGACTCGCCTCCGCCACAAATAGCATTTGCACACAGCCAAAATAGATAGTATATCTGTAACGCTCCATTTGAGGTCTCTGTGGCGGTCCAAACTACGCTGTAGCATATCCTACTGCACTAGTTACGCTAAACTATGGGTTAGTGAAGAATTGCTTACTCGGCTCATCTGCTAGTATATGTAATTTTTCGCACAGTAGAGGTAGCTCAGCATGATAAGGAGCGAAGCTATGGACGTGTGTGCTAAATGCTACGCAGAACTAGCCCTGAATACCCCGAGTTCTCAGAGATTGCAACAATGCGCAGCCTAACTATCCGTATCTCATATCGGAACTCTGGATTATACAGGTAGGAAACGAAGGAAGCTGTTTCAGAGGGATACGCAATATCTTTCTACTCTGTATTGAATCTGAAGTGAAGTGCCTCGTGATGGAGACCTGAAAATGCTCCATTCAAGGGCTTCGTAATAAGGGACTCAACTCAGTACAAAATTTTTTGAAATTCGTTGACCCGTTTAAAAGCAATCTTGCCTTTCCCTGCCCGCGCCCCTCTGGTTTCCTGAGATGATCGAAGAGGGGCAGCCATGTTGCGCGTAGGTGCACCCCCTAGGCACTTTGGAAAATCACAGTTAGCTGCACACAGGATCTAGCACGTAGACTTACACTTACACTTATACTTATACTTACACTTATACTTACACTTACACACTTGCACACACACACACACTTGCACACACACACACACACACACACACACACACACAACGCAGCGTCTTATTGTATCAAGCTAGCCGCATTCTGCAATACATTGGATATTCAAGCCGACACCCCAAAAATCGATTCTTTCCAATTCTTAATAAATATAGCTAGTGCAGTGAAAATTGCTAAAGTGTAGCTTAGCCCGCTACAGAGACCAAGGCCTACAGGACTGCAGCCTCCAGAGTCTTTCATGCACCGCCAAGAAATGTACTACCTTGTTAGGATGACCACTACAGAGGTGCACATTCATATAAGCCTTGGCTAAGTCCTGGGTCTACTTTCTGTCCGTTTTTGATCATATGTGCTGGATTGCTTAGTTAGCTTCATACGAGAAAATATGTTCTATGGACTCCCTTGCTAAGTTGCTGTTTAAAAGGAACCAAGGCCCAAGCTACAGGACAGGTAAGTTTCAACGCACTTGTTATGTGTGTATTTGGTTTGGCTGTCTGCATAGTGTGAGTGCACAGTGGGCTTAGCTTAAAATTCATTATGTCTGCATGTGTGCTAAGTCGAGTTGTGCGGTTAAGTGCGAATGAATATTTGGAGTGCCCAGCGAGTCAAGCAGCGTGCAGGTCAGCAATCCTCTGTTCTCAATTAAACAGGGCCCCTGGAGGGCGATAAGGGCAGGGCGACGGAAGCGCTCCTAAGGGGCACAATTGGTAGCCTATTCTTGATTTATGAATTGTTTTGGGGGCATAAAAAGCACCTTCCCCGAGATTATAGGAAAAAGGAGCTCGACCGTTCGCCAACGCCTGGACCACCCAAATGCTGCGCCTACCCATACGCAGCCCATACTTTCCCTTCTTAGGCGAAAGATGCTGGAGATTGAGTGTGTGGGAAGCAACTGCTTCTATAGGGAACATTTCAGGGCTTTCTTTCAAGTCTTGAGTGCGCTTTGGGCCCTAGGCTTCTTTATGGTAGTTATCGGCGAAGCGTTACATTGTCACAGGCGCTAAATGCCGACCGTCCTGGCCTAGGAGAAACCCGTGCTTTCTCTCGTTGACGACATGGAGCGAGCACAAAGTGAATTTGGTTGCCGTTGCCGTTAACACCTCTACCACTTGCATTTCAATACCAAGGATACACGGGAAAACGGTTCTAGTGTCGCACTACAAACACGTCGAGCAACTAAATAGAAAGCAAAACAATACTTAGAGAAATGTAAGCACGATCAATGGAAGGTAGATATAGGTCAGCCAGAATTGAAGCTACATCAGCCGGCGTGGGCGGGCCTCCAAGTTGGGGCATTGGCTAACACCAATATTGCTCCGAAACAAGCGTCACTGCTGCATACACATTGCAAAAACGGGGTAGTTAGAATCTGCAGTGTAGCTTATATACATCTTAATACGAAGAGTAAAGGTGTGGCAAGGGAAAAGAAGCTCTGAACTGGGGAGTCAAAGGGGACTTCACATTAAAGAGGCAAAAGATGGAGGTACAAGCACTAAAGCCGACAATTGCACATGTCGACTATCGTCGAAGAAGTCTGAGAAATTCGGGAAGGCACAGGAGGCGAGCAGATCTGGACGACCGCCGAGGCCGAACAACTTCTTTGAAGACACAGTACTTCAACTCCAAAGAGCTTGATGGGAGACTTAAGCTGGAGTGGCTCCTCAGAATAAGCGACACTAGCTAGACAAGCACACCAGCAGACCTATTAATAGTGTTACAGCCTCATGGTGAGAACGGCCTCTACCGCGGGCCCTCAAAAGTCTTTGTATACGTCGAAGCCCATGCCTCATCAGTGGGCGTGAAAGGGAGTCTTTTGTGAGTATGCGAGAAAATAACCACTTACAAGGACCCTATTTAGCGCGCGGATAGCAAGTGCCGCACTACCAGCATCCCAAATTTTCAAACTGGTAAAAGCATGCAGCACAATAAGTTACGACTGACGCCTCCGCTATAGGCAGCCCCGATCACGAAGGGAGCCTTTGGGGCGCTTCCTCTCTTAAATTGTCGTTCTTACTGAATTGAAGCAATTAAAATTGTTATGCTACAAGTTCACCCTTTGAAGGGCGGCAACCCAGTGGAAGAGCGGTGGAAGGTAACTCGGCACATCCCCGCAAGCCAGGGAGGACGGGTGCACTAGTTCCCTGTCTCATCGATACTCCTTGGCAGAGTTTTGTTATTCGCTTTATTTCTGCTATAGATCTATGTCGCTGCGGCACACCTGTTAGCGTCTGATGCAGAT